CTGTTGCACACAGCCCCCCAGCCCGACCCTGAAGCATCCGACTGGATTAGCAGGTCTGGAAGGAGAGGCTTCACTGGTCTGGAGTTGGTTGTGGCCAGGTTGGCTACCCACCATTCCAGGTCTAACATAGCTTCTATGTCTAGAATTACCTTCTGATGGAGGGGGACTCCCTGGTGGTCTAAGGAGCTCTTCTGGTGTTGAAGTGCCCTGTAATGGAGTGGAGCCTGGAAAAGTGCTACTTTTGCTGCTATCATTTTGCCAATTAAGCGTGCTAGATCTGACTGTGAGGCAGTCCTGGAATTTAGAAGTCTTCTGCAGTCGTTCCGGAGGTTCAGGACTTTGCTTTCCGGGAGGGAAAAGCTCATGTGAATGGAGCTGACCAGAACACCTAAGAATTCCATTTCCTGTGAAGGGAATAGAATAGATTTCTCCATATTCACAATGAACCCCAGATTTTCCAACAGGTGGAGCATTAGTGATACATCTCTCATAGCTCCATCCCTCTGAGAATTTATGATTAGCATGTCGTCTAGGTAAATACATATCCTTAGACCCAGTCTCCTGACATAAACTATCAGGGGCTTCAGCACTTTTGTGAAGACCCGAGGTGCTGAAGTGAGACCGAAGGGTAGGCATTTGAACTGGTAAGTTACATTCTTGAACTGAAAGCAAAGTAGCTTTTGGTGTGCCGGGTGGATGGGGACCGCAAAATATGCGTCCTTGAGGTCTATTTTGCACATGAAGTCGAGAGGACGAAGACTGTCCGCAACCACCTTCAAGTCCTCCATCTTGAAATGATGGTGGCGCACAAATGAGTTTAGTGTGGACAAGTTTATCACTGGGCGTTGCCCTCCCCCTTTCTTCTCCACTAGGAAAAGGTTGCTGTAAAAGAGGTTGCAGTGGTGGGGAACTTGCTGTATGGCTCTCTTGTCTAAGAGACTGGCAATCTCGTCCTCTACCAGGGCGAGCTGACTGGCATTCAAACAATGTGGGAAAGGCAGCCTTGACTGCCTGGGAACCCCTGTAAGTTCTAGTTTGTAACCCCTCACAGTGTTGAGGGTCCACTGGTCTGATGTTAAGAGTTCCCAGTTCTGGAGAAAATACTTTAGCCTCCCTGCCCTCGGGATGTTCTCTAAGTTGAGGTAGACAAAGGGAAGGGGGGAAAGTGAATGAGTATGAGGAAGGCTTACCTTTGTTTCCCCTGCATGTAGTTTCTGTTGGGAGTTTGTGAGGGCTGCTTGTTGGACTTCTGTTCGGACGCAAGCCTTTGGTCCACCCCTCCCAGGTAAGGCTTCCCTTGGGAGGGGGCCCTCCGAAAAGGCCGGTTGTTATTGTAAGGCCTCTTCCTATTAAAGCTTTCACTGCTTTGATTTCCAGAAGGCGAATGGGCTTGGTGAGAGGAGTGGTCATTCTGCCCATGGGTGTTTGATGAACTATTGCCTCTAGAAGATTTCTTTTTGAACTGGTTTTTCTTGCTTTGAGGCTGGATGGCTTTAGAGACTTTTTCAGCCAGTTCACCAACAAAGTTAAGTTCCTTGGCTTTAGATTCACCAAACAGGAACTTCTGCATAGAATCAGAGCGCTTACCGAGCTCAGTAATGTCGGTGATATGTGTGGACTTAACAATATCCTGACGTCTATGTTTGTTAACAGTAGCCACAGCATGTCCCAGCAAGCGAAGGCTTTTGAGAACCAGGTTGATTGCCTCACCGACCTGTACAGCCTGTGGGTCCCTTTTCAAATGCTGGAGAAGGATGCAAAGTGGACCAGCTGCATCCATATAATTTCTCTCCGTCACTTGGAGATCCTGTTCCCAGCGAAGATTAGCTAGAGACTGCTTACCTTGAATAAGGACAAGCCATTTATCAAGCTCTGGAACATGGAGAGCGGGAACGTCGGGCTTAGGAAATTGTTTGACGAGTTCGCTATGAGCCTTGTCCTCCATGCACGATCGGAAATAAATATCAATGATTTCCTTGAGTTCTTTATCGATATTCCACATACAATATCGAGTATTTGTTGAGCCAGAAGGCGGAGGAATTTCATCAACTACTGTCACTTTAGAACCGTGTTTCTTCGCTTCGTCTTTTGCCGCCAATAAGGCTGAGGCAAAGGGATCGGCAGAACCGCCTTCGGAGACCTTAGCGACTTTGCTCAAAGGTTCCATATCCCTGACAGTAAGGCAGCTAGGAGCTGCAACGCTGAGCAGGCTTGCTGCGTAGGATCTCTTTCGGCCGGTTTGCTGTTGGTTTGAACTAGGCGGGAAGCCGTTCAACGACAAACGGGTTTCTTGCAAGGCCGACTGATCCTGAGAGGGGCCGGTTAGTTTGCCCTCCTCCAGCGTAGAATCGCCATTAAACGATCTCCTTGGGGATGCAGGCGACTTGTCACCATTTTCCGAGCCCGTAGACCCGTGATGAGACACATTTTCATCATCCATAATGGCTAAAAACATCCACTTGCAAAGTGAAAATGGCCGCCGGCTCGGTACTGGCGCCTAGGCTTATGGGGTTGCTTGGACCATATATGGTATGCATGACCTTTTAAGGAAACTTTTTTCGCGCTGCATATTTTTCGCTTTTAATGACTTTGGTATTTCTATATATTTGAGACCAAGACCAATTAGTGAATTCTGAGTGCAACATGCTATAGAATTCACCATCACTAGACATAATTAACCATCATTAGACATAATTCACTATCACTAGACATCATTCACCATCACTAGATGTAATTCACCATCACTAGACGTAATTCACCAACACTAGACATAATTCACTGTCACTAAACATAATTCGCCATCACTAGACGTCATTCACCGTCACCACACATCATTTACCATCACTAGACAATTCGTCATCACTAGACGTTATCACTAGACGTCATTCAACATCACTAGACATACAGTACTTTACAATCACTGGGCATCATTAAACATCAGTAGAGATCATTCACAATTACTAGACGTCATTTACCATCACTAGACATTATTTACCATTACTAGATGTCATTCAACATCAATGGACGTCCTTCACCATCACGAAAAGTCTTTCACAATCACTAAACGGCATTCACCATCACAAAAGACGTCATTTATCCTCACAAGACATCATTCGTGATCACCATCACTAGACATCATGCACTGTCACTAGACGTCATACAGCATCACTAGACATCATTCACCGTCACAAGACATCATGTACCGTTACTAGACGTCGTTCACCAAATTCAAAATGTAAAATCCTCAGAGCCGCCTTCTTTTCAGAATATGAACACTCCTAAGGTAAATAATACTCTTGCCGGTTTTCTCGCCATCATCAACATCATCTGGCATTTGGTGTGCCTGCGCTGCTTATTGATAATTCTAAATCTCGCATTTTTTTCAGGGCAAAAAAGGAATGCCTACTCATTAATAAGAAGAGTGGTGCTTGTACTATTGAAGGAATGCTAGCGCTCTTTGAACAGTAAAACAAAACACTATGAGAGAGTGTGCACAGGTGATCTGCATAATTTTATAATAGGAATTTAGGGATGAAGCGTTTGGTAATAATATTGGGTCTGTGTCTTGTGTATTAAGCATGAAAGGGATTTTATTTAAATTGATTGAAAAGCATTGGAGAAAGGATGCAGCCTTGTCTGACACCCTGATTACCGTAATCAAGGAATTTACTTCTTTGGAAACCATGTTTAATGGATCATTCTGTTTTGGAATAGAGAGTGTTAATCAGGTGATAACATGTTCCTCCAATTTTGTATCTGAGTAATTTGCAAAGTAAACCGTCATGCCATACTGAATCCAAGACCTTTTTAAAATCTATGAAACAGGTGTAAAGTTTGCCTTTGGTTGTATGAGTGACGTATTTATCAATTAGAGTTCTAAAGGTGAAGATATGGTCGGTTGTGCGATGGTTAAACACAAAGCCAATTCGAGCTTTAATTTGTGTAGGATATTGTGGTCCCCTACAAAATTTTTCAGTCGGTTATTGAGGACGGCACCAAAAAGTTTTCCTAGGAAGCTATTTAAGCATATGCTGCGATAATTTGCTGGTCTTGTTTGTATCCAGATTTGAATATGGGAGTTATTACACCCTCGCACCAACTTTGTGGAAAGTACCCAGTGGTGAGGATATAGTTATACAGTTTGCGGATTGCAGACTTGAAGTGAGGCCAAGAGCCGGTTTTGAGCATTTCATTTCGTTTTCTGTCAGGACCCAGGAGCTTTTCCAGATTTTAAAAGTTTTATTGTAGTGTCAATTTCATCGAGAGAAACAGGGACCGTCATCTAGATAGTTTTGATCATCTTTCTGTTGTTCTAAGGCTGATTTGTCATTTAGAACAGACAGGTGGAATTTGGATAATATTGACGGTTTTGGTTTTGAATGCAACTTTTCAAAATGATCATATAGTTTGTTAATGCGTGCTTCCAGCATACCGTTTGAAACACTTTTATCAGTTTCATTGAGTGATTTCAAATAGCTCCAAAATTCATGGTTTCCTTTGTGTTTAATTAGGTCATCGATTTTTGAGTTAAGTAGGTTGGTTTTCTTGAATTTTCATAAGTTTTTTAAAGTTTTTGTGCACCTTATGGTAATCCTGCCTAAGAGTTTCATCATAAGGATTTCTATGTTTTTTATTAGATGGCTTAGTCAAAGTCTTCCTCAGTTGGAAACGTTCTTGGTCAAACCATTTCTTTGACTGTTGTTTTTTATGAGCCTTCTTTTGACAGTTTAATTTGAGAGAACGTAAAGATATTTTGCATTCCACCATTTCAGTTGCATTGGAAACTGAGGCGAGCTTCAAATTTTAATGAAAGATCGTGGTGAGATTGGTCATTAGATAAAGTTTGGTGGTTTTATTTACGTTGAACAGAGACCAAGTCATGGACTTTGAAACATGATTCGACATCCATACGAACATCTCCAATTTTGAGACAGCATTACAACAAAAATATTTTATTGCTGGTCATCCAGTCATGCAAATCTAAGATCATGAATGATGACGATGATGATGGTGAATGATGGTGTTGTGAATTAATTTCACCTGATTCACCCGTGCGAATGAACTGTAGCAGTATTGCACAGGCGCCTTCGCGATTATGTTAATTTTGTTTGTTGTAAAAGATTTCGTATTCATATTTTTCAAGCATATGGTTTGTTAATTGTCAAGGAATAAACCATCTGAAGTTATCTCAGTTGGAGTCGTTGGAACATCTAGAGACATTGGTGCCGGGACCAGGATTCTGCCAAGGAGCTGCAGAAAATGGGCGAAGATTTGAAGTAACTAATTAGCGTCAGAGGGGCATACTGTGGACATTGCACAAGAGCAGTAAAGTGGCAAATGAAATTATGGAGTCATATTCGCCTAACTTGGACGCACTTGAAAACATGTTTGAAGGACTCTGCAGCAGAATGGAGCAACTCTCGCTACAGAATCAGAGGACTGAGCTCACTGTCCCAGAAGATAAAATTGAAGAGGAAATTTCACAAACACTCGAATACACCGATGATTTGATGGGACAAAAGAACAAGATTGCAAAATTCCTTCGCGATGGGAAAGCTCAAGTTAAACATGAACAGGAAGAAAACAAGACCGCAAAACTGGCCCCTTAACAACTCAAGAACTATCAATCGCCTCCACGTGAAATACAGCAGCTCTCTTAGAAAGACAGCAAGCTATCTCTCCCACTTGTCTATCGGCTGCTCTTATATCTTGATAACAATGCTGTTCTTTGTTTCCGAGGAAGATTAGAGAGTGCACCCCTTGATGATCAGTCCAAATTTCCAATACTGCTTCCCAGAAATGAGCATTTCACGAAGTTAGTTGCTCTAGCTGCACACATATGAGTACTTCACAGTGAGGTCAGGGAAACACTCACGCAACTCAGACAGAAGTACTGGGTACCTCTTAAACGTCAGTTCGTTAGAAGCCTCATACGCAAATGTGCAACCTGTTGAAAGACCAATGGACCTCCATATCAACCTGTAAGTTCTCCGCCATTGCCTCCATCGAGAGTGTCAGAAAATCAAGTATTTAGTACAACTGGTGTGGGTTATGTTGGCCCTTTGTACATCAAGGGCTCCACTGGAGCAAAAAGTCCCACGAAGGTCTTTATTGTCTTATTCACATGCACAGTAGTTCAAGCCATCCATTTAGAAGTTGTGGAGGATCTATGATCAGAGTCTTTCATTCGAGCCTTCAGGAGATTTGTGAGCAAACAGGGAGTTCCAGAAAGACTTATTTCAGACAACACGAAAAACTTCAAGGACTGTAGCAAGAGGATCACTTCCTTGTGTAGTCGGATTCTGGAGGCAGAGAAAACGCAAAGATACTTGGCAAGTCATGGAATAACATGGTAGTTTATCATCGAAAGAGAACCCTGGTGGGGAGGGTTTTACAAGAAACTTGTTGGCTCGGTGAAGAGGTGCCTCAAAAAGTACCTTGGCAAGACTTTACTCTTGTTCCTGACATAGTTACTATGGTAACTGAAGAAGAAGCAGTGCTGAACAGTCGACCGCTGACTTACTTGTACCCGGACATTGAAGATAATCCGCCTTTAACACCAGCACATTTCCTGTGTGGCCACAAACTTACCACTCTACCCAATTTAGTTCAGGACAAAGAAGATGTTGACCCTTTGTTCATTCCTCTATCTGTGCAAGCCCCATGGTCCAGAAAACAAGAACTTTCAAGGAGAATTATGCACTATGAATCGCTAATGACAACGTTTTGGACGCGATAGAGAAGAGAGTATTTGCTGAACCTGAGCGAATTTCAACGCCAGCCACTCAAAGGACCCTTGGCAAGGAATGACAGTTCTGTCAAGATCAGTCATGTTGTTCTAGTCCATGAGCATCTTCCAAGAAGTTGGTAAAGGTTGGCTCTTGTGGAGAAACTTATCAAAGGAAGAGATGGCTGGTGTTGTACTGCTCAAGTTAAACTCGCCAATAGAAACCAGATTCACCGTCCTTTGCAGTTGCTTTTTCCGCTAGAAGTGCAAGACACAGTGTCTGATCATAAAGAGATGAAATCCGAAGATATCATGTCAACTAGCGATCCAGCAGACCCTCAACAACCCCCTAAAAGCAAGGCTAACATTGAAGTAAGACAAAAAATTCACATGTGGACTCAATGATATTTTCGACTTAAATCAGTTACTTAACTAAAATAAGGATTTCTTACTATTGTTTTTGGGGGGGGGGAGGATGTTGTGAATTAAGGACAGTGCCTACTTTTGTTAGTGCACATACTTTCTGCGCAGCAGGCAAGGCATGGTTTAAGTGCCACGTGCGTGCTAAGGTTGGCATTGACGCAATCAACTACGCTACCAAGTACATGACTAAAAGAAAGCAAAATTTTCCTACTGTGACCAAATCAAGTTTAATGAACCCGTACTTAAACCAGGAAGACCAAAATAGCAGCATATCGCTAACCACTAACTGTTAACTTCATCCAACTGAAAAACTAGCTGTTTTCTGTGGAAAATTATACTGAAATCCAACATGTACCTGCAGATGGTGTAGTGCACGTGCAAAACAAGTGCAAAATATGCAAATGTTTTACTTACCAGGGAGATAACAGGAAAAATTTAACAGGCACCGTAAAAGTTTTCAAAAAAGATCAATAACTTTAAAAAACGCGTGGTTACCCCCACATTTTATGTTATGAAATGGAAGTGGCAAGCTTATTCAACACATGATTAGTTTCTGGTTGTGAGCAAAAGGTATTTAGAAGACTGTCAGAGACGCTAAAAGTGCTGTTGCAACAATTTTGTTATTAAGAACATACAAAAAATGGTTTTCATGCTACCATTTACCATGCAGTTTTAAGATCTTTATGAGTGTGTTAACTTTTCTGTTAGTAAAGGCGAATTCATGGAAATCTGTGAAGAAATATCCTTTCCTTCTTTTTTCAGAAAATGCTGATGTCAGCACTTTTTTGACATTCAAGGCTAATTGTCTTGAAAAAATGCGTGGGTGCCCCAATTTTTCTTTCTGGATTCCAATAGCCCTTGCAAAGGTCTACATTTTCCACGTGGTCCTTACCTGGTGTAAAAACCTGTCTATTTAGTAGGCACCGTCCTTAATTTTGCCTGATTCGCCCGTGCATATGAACTCTAGCAGTAGCACACAGGTGCCTTCGTGACTATGTTAATTTTGTTTGTTACAGTGGAACCTCGATTTAACGAACCTCTATTTAACGAAGTCCTCGATATAACGAACGATTTTCTTCANTATTAGCTGGAGTGCCGCCATCTTGCGCGACTCCGCCGCCGTCGTTGTGCGTACGCGCCCACGAGCAATACCGCTAGCCATGATAACCATGAGAAAATCAATTCATGGGTTTCCTTTCCTCTCCTATATGAGTACGGGGCTCCACTTAAACCTTCTCTCTCAAAATTTAAGGAATCAGTAAAAAGTGATGTTGATTGTTTAAAGATTATTAGTTATATGATTAGTTATATGTATTCACATTATTTTAGACTGCAGTTGTTTCATCTCTCTAATGTTTTGATTAATTATTCTTTAGTTAAATTCTGTCACATTTCCAAGCCTTATTACTATATTTTCTTTTAAAGCTTATATAATATGTATATAACGTTATTGTGTTATTAGTTGTCACAGCTTTTAATTGTGTGCTTCTCCTATATTAATATTTTATACTCATATATAAATGTTATCACCTCAGACTTCCCTAACGGCGGTTTTTTATTTCCTTTCTTTTTTTTTCTCTTCCTTTCCCTTTTTTTATGTGTGCATTTGTGCTATCTTACTGACCTTCAATTTATTTTTATTTAACAGTGATGCCAAATGGCAGCCTGGCTCCGCTAGCCCATATGGTTATTCCAGGCAGCCAGTACTCTAAATTTATCATTGATATTTTTGCAGATTTAGAATTATAGTGTGAAAGACTACAAATAAAGATTGTTGTTGCTGTTGTTGTTGTTGTTGTTGTTGTTGTTGTTGTTGTTGTTGCAAGCTTGCCAACTACAGTGGAATCTCGATTTAACGAACCTCTATTTAACGAAGTCCTCGATATAACGAACGATTTTCTTCAAACCGGCCAAAATTACAGTAAAATGTATGGAGCAAAACCTCGATATAACGAACCTCGATATAACGAAATCCTCGTTATAACGAACACAATCCAGACGTCCAAACGTAAAATATACCTCGATATAACGAATAAATGTCAACATGTGACGAAAGATGAATGCAAAACAAACTAACAAGGATGACATTTCTTTAATCCTGTAACACGAGGGCAACAGCCCATTACAGCTGTTTA